TAAATCTCAAAAATTTCTTTTTCCCCTGGTACCACTGCATTGCTGAAGTAATAGATAACAGTCTATACATCATCATCACCATCATATTAGAACTAGAGGCCCTGTGCACAAAACTTGTACACTGGAGGGTGATTCTTCAGCTCGGCTTGCAACCTCTAGCAGTCTAGGACCCTTTGGTAGACATCCTTCTCGCAGTCTGGAATCCCTCGCTCCTTACTGCCCACCTGCTCACTGCTCCTTACCGCTTGGCTTGCTGCTCTTTAGTACTGCTGTTGGAGGTGGGCAAGGCTCCCACCACCTCTGCTGCACTTGCCAGCTGTAAGCCCAGCTCCTGGCTGAGCTGCGCTCCCCTGTGGAAGTGAGTGTACTGACCACCAGGGGGCAGCTCCGGCATTGAGTGTCTGCACCCTGGTGGCCAGTATGCATCATAGCAACTGGTCGTTCTGGTTATTCCAGCATAAGGGTCACTTAGGCTTTTAGTATATACATTATCTTCCTTATTAGCAAGCCAGTCATGCATTATTAGGAATACAAAAGCAAAGTGTGACAATGAGATGTGTACCTGGGAAGAATAAATGCAAAAATAGGTTGCAACACCAACTCGTTGTGTTTTAAGTATTTGTAAATTTACTGTCTGCTACACACTGCTGGACACTTGTGATATGGTGAATTATGAATAAGCAAAGTGTCATGCTTGATTCGTCAAGAGACTGGACAACTCTTATGTATGCTCTCCTGTTGAAATAAAGATTAGTATTTTTAAAATATAGTTTTATTGATTTCAGAGAGGAAAGGAGAGGGAGAGAAACATCAATGAGAGAGAATAATTGATTGGCTGCCTCCTGCATACTCCCTGGGGATCAAGCCAGCAACCTGAGCATGTGCCTGGACAGGAATCAAACCCTGTACCCTTCAGTCCGCAGATCAATAATCTTTTTCATTGAGCCATACTCGCTAGGGCTAATCAAACTCTTATATATTCAAGGCCCTCGTCTGTTTTGCTCCTCTTCAGTTCCTAATGGTGACTCTGCTCTGGGATTTTTCTCCATACTGGTTCAACAAGTCCAAGCAAGTTCTACCTCAAGAGCTCTTGGGCCACAACTCACTCACCCCACCAAGTTTCTGACCATTCACTGTAGCTGCAATCACTCAGACCAAGTCAGCAATTCAAGGGCATAGGATTGAGAAATCAGCTTGTGGCTGTCCTGAAGCAAAAATGGCAGATGAACATAGTTGGGACAACAGCCACTGGGTGCGGTGACCACATGTATTGGACATCCTGTGTGGAGAACACACTGTTAGGCATGGGGGAAACAAAAAGAAAGTGAAGTCCTCTTAGAATTGTCCTCAAAAAGCTTGCAGCCCTATTTAGGAGTTGAGTCCATACACAGCGCCAAAATTGCTGTGAATGGTAGGGTGACACCTTAAAAATTGTGAAGAGTATACTAGTGGTGCTGAGAACAATGGGAATGACGGCCTCCAGAAGAACAATTCTGCAAAGCAATGTAAGATGCTTCTAGCCCCATAGGTAGTTCCCAGCCAGTTGGGGAGGCAAGTGATACTGAGGTAAAAGTTATAATATAAGGTAGTGTTATGTATAATTGTGTGTCAAAGGAGTGAAAAAGACAAGAACAACTTGAATTTAGGGGAAAGAAGGGAGAGGTTAACGAAGCTGACAATGGAGTATGGAGGGCAGTTACAAGCAGGGTTCAAAGAGAGAGCCATGGTGAAGGAACAGGCTAGATATGGTTTGATACGAGCCTGGAGTGGAAGAAGGACACATTTGTGTAAGAATCAAGGTTGGAAAGCTAGGAGTTTGTTGGGAGACTTTGGGGTTAGATTAATAGTTTTGACCTTTATTTTTGTGGGCAGTTGCTAAAAACTTGTGAGCCAAGAGATGACATCATGAAAACAGGAGGCCAGAAATGAGGACTGGAGGCACATAACCAATTAGAGGGCCACTGCAGCACTTTGAGATAAGGTCCTGTGGAGGGAGGAGGGAAAGCATGGATGGATTTGAAGGACACCAGAAGAAAAATCCACTATTTACCTGATTGGATGTGGACAGAGAGGGAGGAGGGACACTTTCAGTAGGAAGTGTGTTGAGGGGAAATTTTGGAAGTACTCATTAACTTCCAGTGGAAAATCTGTAAGAGGAGAGAAAGATTTACATAAGAGTAGGAGTGTCTTCTGAATTGATTATCTTGTAATCACCATGGAATTTCTCTATGAGATAAGCAGGCAATAGATATCACACTGATTTAAAATGGCAGTAACAAGGAGAAACTTCTGGCTCACACAGGCTGGGAGAGTAGAAAAAAAGCAATCTGATCTAGGATTATGAACCCTGGTCTGAATCCCAGGTGTTTTGCTTTTTTTTTTTAAATGTTTAAAAATTCATTGGGCCTATAAAATGGGGATATATAATGTATTATCTATTCTTTGGGGTCTTAAATTACAGGCATTATTTGTTGAGTGCTTTAGTATGTAACAGAATTTGTGTTAAAAACTTTATTTGCATTTTCTTATTTAACCTGTAGACTGTCCATTTTGTATTTTTAAAAAATTCCTAAATTTAGTGGCTTACAACTATCCATTTTATTTGCTCACAGGTTTACAATCTGGGCTGGGCTAGCTAGCAAGTCCTCTGTGGTTCTTTTACTGTCACTGATGTGTTTTCAGTCAGCTGGTGAGCTGGCTGGGAGCTGGGTGCAGCTCAGATTTGGGATGGCTGGACTTCGCCCTCTCTTCACATATATACAGCCTCTCTCTATGTGCTTTCTCCAGTGGCTTAAGACTTCTAAGTAGAAACTTTCACACCTTCTCAAGGGTTAGGTGGGGAACTAGCACAGTTTCACGGCTGCATTTTCCTGGCAAAGGCACGTCACTGGCTCAGTCCAGATTTAAGTGGAAGGGTCTCCATGAGGGTGTGACTAACAGGAGGGTGGTCCATTGAAGTCGCTGACTACCTAATATTATCTCCAATTAGTAAATAAATAATCTGTGACTTAAGGAGGATTAGTTACTTGACAATGTAGAGATTAGAGCTAGGTACTTCAAAGCTTGTGTTCTAAATCATGGGTCAACAGATACAATTTGTACAAGCATATCTTCTTTTAATGTGCTTTGCTTTATTGCACTAAGAAATGTTTTTTACAAATTGAAGGCAAGATCCTCCACCAACAAAAAAAATTACACTTGCGTTATTGTTATACTTGCTTCATTGTGGTGGTTTAGAATCAAATCTGCAGTATCTCCGAGGAATGTCTGTGTAGTGTTTAAATCTAGAATCCTATGAGGATTGGATATACTTTTCAAAGAAGGAAATGCAGGATATGTATCTGCTACACCAAGTTGTTTCATATGGGCAGTACCTGATACATATAAGGCACATGTAAATGTTATTTAACCTGACGCAATTATTTGAAGGATTAACTCAAGCAAATCTCTTTAACCATCTACTATCACATCTTATAGGCCGTTTTGAAACTGAGAGTTTTCTCTATGAAGCTGGGCTTTCCTTCTTGGGCGAGAACCTTCCTGAAGTAAGGCTTGCCTCAAGTTTCCATCCTCTAATCATGAAGATGGACTTGTGGCTTCTGAATTAATAACCATATGGTCCCTGTCACTTCTATAGTTTTATAGATAAATTTGTCAAAATTGGGGGCTTCTGAAGATAGCTTTTGCAAAAAGCTCCATTTCCTATAGAGTGACTTTTGATAGTTTCCCCTTTCCCGATGTGGGTCCTATGGGAACAGGACTTGCTGTGTGGGAAATCCCAGGTTACAGTTTCCTGAGAGGAGTCATGTTCTGCTTAACTTTGAAGGTGATCCACATCACATGGCTGTCTTTCCCTAAGGCGGCCCAGATCTTTTTTTTTTTTTAATCCTCACCTGAGGGCGTGCTTATTGATTTGAGAGAGAGGAAGAGGAAGAGGGAGAGAAAAGAAGAGAAAGGGAGTGAAACTAGATCAGTTGCCTTCTGAATGTGTCCTGTCTGGGGATGAACCTGAAAACTAGGTATGTGCCCTGCCAGTGAATCCATCAGTCAGGGCAGCCTGCTCTGGTAAACACTTTGTGGGGAGTCTGGAGTCAGAGTATACTAGCAAGAAAAGATAATGGGGGAGGTGGTTCACCTTGGTGGGCTCTGCTCTATTTTGGGACAGTGATGGGCAGCAGTCATTGAGGGAGTGACCCCAGATACTCCTAGCTTTTTCAAGGCAAAATTATAGGGTGGCCTTATCTTTCCTGTAAACTTTTTCTTCAAGACAAATCCAGATTTTCATTTTGACTTCTTTTCACCCTTATAAAAATGTTGAGGCACAATACTTACACTTAATACAATTCTATTTTATTTAACAAACAGATATGCAGGTGGGCTGGGTCCTGTTCAAAGTGCTTTACATATATTGCATTTTTTGACATATTTTATAAACTTCGATATGAATCAAATGAGGTGTGGTAGGGGTATTTTTGAAGAGTGACTTAACTAGTAGTCACTCTGTTTCCCCCAACGGGGAGAGGAGGGGAGATGGAATTGAGCTTCTCCGGAGGGCAAGGCCGCCTACTACTTTCCCCAGCTGTCTACCCAGGCTAGATCTAGGGGTAAGGGGCTCCACCCTCGCCCAGATCCAGTCGTGGGAGGGCCAGTGGCTTTTTCCGGGTCACTGGCCCACCCTCTTTACTCCCAGCCACCTGCTTGGGTTCCATCCGGGTTCCAGGCTCTCTGGAGGGCGCCAGGGACATTCCAATCCTCCCACCACCCGCACGGATGTGGCGGGGGAGGGGACGACGACGGCTCTCCCATTCCAGCACCCGGCTTTGAGTACATTTCTTCTCCGTGTCTAGTGACCTGAGTCCCCGGAGAGGAAACAGGATTGAAGAGTGGTCTGAAGGTTGTTTGTTTACAACGCGCCCGTTGGTGGAGCCGCATCCTTAACGAGAGGCACTTTCTGGGCACCGTCTGCGCTGGGGCAGACAACTGAAAGCCAAACAACCCAGATGCCTCCTCGCCAGACCAAATATGGTCACAAGCAAGCCTCCCGCGTGAAGGCCGGCCAGGGAGCCTCCGCGTGCCGGGGCGCACCCGGTCCCGCCCGCGGGCAGAGCCTGGCTCCGCGCGGCGGCCCGGAGCTCCGGGCCTCGGCACCGGGCGCTCAGGTAGGGCGCGGCGCCCGGGCCCGCCCTTCCTCCGCCTGGGCCCCTCACCCCCGACCCCTCCGCCGCCCCAGGCCTTGGTTTCGGTCCACCAGCCCTTGATTAAACAGGCCCGGGTCACTTTCCCTTTGATCTACCCCAAGCCCGCGGTAAACTCAAAGGAATGCACTTCCAGAGCTCCTAGGGAGAGGTCCGTGCGATCAAGAGTGGGTGGGGGGCACCTTCTCCTCTTAGCCTGCAATGTACCCAACACACCCAAGGCTTTCTGGAGCCGGAGAGAGGGGTGGGAGAGGAGGAAAAGGAGGAGGGGGAGGGGGGAGGAGGGGGAGGAGGAGGAGGAGGAGGAGGAAGGGGAGGGACAAGCGGGGGCAGGCAGGCTCAGGACTTGCAAGTCATGCATAATTCAACAGTTCAACTTTCGGGCCCGCCTCTTTCCTGGGAGTGGGAGTTTGCTCCAAACTTTGTTTATAGGACAGTCGGAGAGCCGCGGCGGCCGCGCTGTCTGCTTCTCCTCCTTCAAGAGCGCGAAGGCCTGAGGCCAGTTTGGGGGAATGTGAAGGCCGAAGCCCCTCGACTGCCAGGCACCAAGGCGGGTCCGGATTTGCCAGCTGGGCTCCGGCTCCAATCCGGCAAGATCGGAACGCACTCCTAGCGACCCAGGCCCGACGGCCGCCGCCGCTCGCCCAGACTCGGCTTCGCCGCGCGCCCAGGTAGTGCCCGCTGGAGCGCGCTCCGCACCGCTCCCGGGTGCCCGGGGCCTCGGGCTCGCGGGGTCCAGATGTGGAGTTGGCTGGGGCTGAGATTTCTTTGGGGGGATCCCTGCCCTGGAGAGCTGTGACCTGTTCTTTGCCACCCACAGTTCAGCAACGTCCGGAGTGCAGCTACCTCCCCCTCTCCCCGCTCTTCCTTCTCTCAGTAACTTTTTTGGCTCCAAGAAAGTTGCATAATTCTGGCGGCCGGGAGGGACTCCTCCCCCAGGGGGCTGGTCTCCCGGCTGAGTGTCTGGGATCTCGAGGCGGACACCTATCTGTGTCTTTTTATTTCCTCTCCATTTTCTCCCCGTACCTCTTACTCCGACTTTAAGTAAAAGGCTGCTCTGACCCTTTTCCTTGTAGAAGATGAATCCGGCCTCGGCGCCCCATCCGCTCCCGCCGCCCGGGCAGCAAGTGATCCATGTCACGCCGGACCTAGACACGGACCTCGAAGCCCTCTTCAACTCGGTCATGAACCCCAAGCCCAGCTCCTGGCGGAAGAAGATCCTGCCCGAGTCATTCTTCAAGGAGCCGGACTCCGGCTCGCACTCGCGCCAGTCCAGCACCGACTCTTCGGGCGGCCACCCCGGGCCCCGGCTGCCCGGCGGCGCCCAGCACGTCCGCTCGCACTCGTCGCCCGCGTCCCTGCAGCTGGGCGCCGGCGCGGGCGCCGCGATGAGCGCGGCGCAGCAGCACGCGCACCTCCGCCAGCAGTCCTACGACGTGACGGACGAGCTGCCGCTGCCCCCGGGCTGGGAGATGACCTTCACGCCCACGGGCCAGAGGTACTTCCTCAAGTAAGTCAGCCTGCTGCGGGGCAGGGGGAGGGGGCCGAGAGTCCCGATTCCGAGGTGCGCACGCTTGTGAGTGTGTGTGTGATCTGATGGTGTGTCTTTCCGGGATTCTTTCCCAAATATCTGTGAAGCTAGCAGGAAGAAAGGAGTGGATCCCTGGATATTGGAAGTGTAGGGAATCAGAAGCAGAGAGTCTGGTGATGTTCTTCCAGGGCATCCCAGGAGATTCAGGACATGGAAGGAAGCTCTAAGAGACAGGAGACATAAAAGTAGTTTTGGGGGGATTCTCATGAAACACTTAAGTGACTTTGCCCCGAATCTGGAGTATTGATACAGACTTCTGGGCACAAACCCTCGCCCCATCCCTGCCCATTCTAAGTCAGATACCTCAGAGCCTGGACACCAAAAACATGTGAGAAAAGTTCTGAGACTGGAGAAGAGGGACTCTTGGACTCTTGGTAGGGTAGGTCTGCAGTCTTTATTCTGGGGAAAAGCTGGAAAAGTGAACACTGCCTGGTAGGCCTTACCTCCCAGCTGGGTGATGTAATGACCACACAGCACAGTGATGTAATTAGCAACTGCTGATGAAGTAGTTGTGGGCTGGACAAATGCATTGTGTGGAAATTGGGTCAGGAGTTGTATTATGTCATACTTGGTAACTTAAAATACCATCGAATCAGGAGCCTATTTTGTCATTTTTCCCTTCACGTTGTTCCGGCTTTCTGATGTAATGAATTTTAAAGTTAGATTCATGTTAGAGGCTCTATAGGAAAATAGGTTCACAGACATAAAAAAAAAAAAAATTGTTTCAATTGTGGTATCCTAAGATAATTATATTCCAGAAGTGGAACCAAGCTGGAACTTGAAAGGTAACTGGTGAGGTCTTAGAGGCTCAGACTATCCGTGGCCTAGGTGGAAGTTGTGCCAACTGGACCACTTGGTTCAGGAGTGCCTGCACCAGCTGGCTGTTCTCAGCCATGGAGAGAAACTTCTCTTCGAAGAACTTGTCTTTTGTTTACTTAAAGTCCATGTTTCTTTGATGGTGCAGCCTTTGTTTGAAAGTTGAAACATTAAATGCTATTTTAAAAATACAATCAATCCTTTCTTTGGTGTTAGTATTTGATACTTTGATTGCTATTTGAGGGCCCTAATAAAGAATATACAATAATGTACGAGGTTTATTATAACTAACACTTTGACTCACACTGGTAACCAAGGATTTCTTTCCCATCCCAAAGCTGTTGACATCTTGTGCAAGGAGGAGGAGTTCTTTATTTTATTCGTGGGGTTGGTGTAATGCTGGGAAGCACTTGTTCTGGAACAGACTTGGTGGCCATTTTACCCCACCACTGTTTTTTTTCTCTCTGTTTTTAAGTGATAGTGTGGACATGTACTCAGTCCTATGAGTTTTAAATTGCTGGTGGAATTCAAGTGTGTGATGTAATAACATGGCATTTTCCTAAATGTGATGTTGTTCTGAAGGATGACATTAGTTTCTGTAGTTAATAAAGGTCCAAAATAACTAGCCTCTTTTATTAATAGGTAAATGCAATTGTGAATATTTTATGGTGAATTTTCTAGAAATGGACTTAGTAAGAAACAAAGTAGAAAAAGACATAATAATTTATAGTAATTGGGGAGATCATTTTTGGCCCAAATGATTTTTAAATTGTTTATGAATGTACACAGAAAAGTATATAAGGGATAAGAGCTGGGCTTACATATTACCTGAGGAAAGATAGGAAAAAAAAAAAACAACCCTCAAATAAAAGCAAAACAAAGTAATTTTATACACATTTTGAGTGATTGTAATAGATCAGAACTATCTTTGTGAAACTAGGGTAATAGTGGAAGTTGGCCTGAGTTTAGAGGGAAAGTTGCCCTGATCCCTCTGCCCATCTCCCCAACTACAACCACTCCCCAACCCAAAACAAAGTGTGTCTTCATTTTATTGGGTCCTCAGTGAAAACAACAGCTGAAAAAAATAGGTAGGAGGATAGCCTGATCTGATGCTATCCCTGGAAGTTTTTGGCCACATAGCTAAAGGAATTAAAGAAATTAAGTCATCATGACTATTGTCTTTATATATATATATATATATATTTTTTTTTTAATTGATTTTTTACAGAGAATAAGGGAGAGAGATAGAGATCTAGAAACGTTGATGAGAGAGAAACATCGACCAGCTGCCTCTTGCACACCCCCTACCGGGGATGTGCCTGCAACCAAGGTACATGCCCTTGACCGGAATTGAACCCTGGACCTTTCAGTCCGCAGACCGATGCCGTACCACTGAGCCAAACTGGTTTCGGCATGACTATTGTCTTTTAAAAAATATGTATTTTATTGATTTGGGAAAGGGAGAGAGATAGAAACATCATTGATGATAGAGAATTATTGATCAGCTGCCTCCTGCATGCCCCACACTGGGGAGTGAGCCCGAAACTCAGGCTTGTGCCCTAACCAGGAATCAAATGCTCAATCACTGAGCCATGCAGGGCTTTTTTTTTTTCTTTTTTTTCTTTTTAATATATTTTTATTGATTTTAGAAAAGAAGGGGGAAGAAGAGAGATAGAAATGTCAGTAAGAGAATCATTAATTGGTTGCCTCTGCACATGCCCTGACTGGGAATCTAACCGTGACCTCCTGGTTGAAGCTCTACCACTGAGCCAAGCCAGCAGGGCATGACTATTGTCTTTTAACATTAGTAATCTGCCCAAAGTTCTCTGAGGTTCTCTTTCTTTCTTTCTTTCTTTCTTTCTTTCTTTCTTTCTTTCTTTCTTCCTTTCTTCCTTTCTTCCTTTCTTCCTTTCTTCCTTTCTTCCTTTCTTCCTTTCTTCCTTTCTTCCTTTCTTCCTTTCTTCCTTTCTTCCTTTCTTCCTTCCTTTCCTTCCTTTCCTTCCTTTCCTTCCTTTCCTTCCTTTCCTTCCTTTCCTTCCTTTCCTTCCTTTCCTTCCTTCTTTCTTTCTTTCTTTCTTTCTTTCTTTCTTTCTTTCTTTCTTTCTTTCTTTCTTTCTTTCTTTTTTTTTTTTTTTTTTTTTTTTTTTTTTTTAAATATATTTTATTGATTTTTTACAGAGAGGAAGGGAGAGAGATAGAGAGCTAGAAACGTCGATGAGAGAGAAACATCGACCAGCTGCCTCTTGTACACCCCCTACCGGGGATGTGCCCGCAACCAAGGTACATGCCCTCGACCAGAATCGAACCTGGGACCTTTCAGTCCGCAGACCGACGCTCTACCACTGAGCCAAACCGGTTTCAGCTCTTTCTTTCTTTCTTCCTTTCTTCCTTTCTTCCTTTCTTCCTTTCTTCCTTTCTTCCTTTCTTCCTTTCTTCCTTTCTTCCTTTCTTCCTTTCTTCCTTTCTTCCTTTCTTCCTTTCTTCCTTTCTTCCTTCCTTTCTTCCTTTCTTCCTTTCTTCCTTCCTTCCTTCCTTCCTTCCTTCCTTCCTTCCTTCCTTCCTTCCTTCCTTCCTTCCTTTCTTTCCTTTCTTTCCTTTCTTTCCTTTCTTTCCTTTCTTTCCTTTCTTTCCTTTCTTTCCTTTCTTTCCTTTCTTTCCTTTCTTTCCTTTCTTTCTTTCCTTCCTTCCTTCCTTCCTTCCTTCCTTCCTTCCTTCCTTTCTTTCCTTTCTTTCCTTTCTTTCCTTTCTTTCCTTTCCTTTCCTTTCTTTCCTTCCTTTCCTTCCTTTCCTTCCTTTCCTTCCTTTCCTTCCTTTCCTTCCTTTCCTTCCTTTCCTTCCTTTCCTTCCTTTCCTTCCTTTCCTTCCTTTCCTTCCTTTCCTTCCTTTCCTTCCTTTCCTTTCCTTCCTTTCCTTCCTTTCCTTCCTTTCCTTCCTTTCCTTCCTTTCCTTCCTTTCCTTCCTTTCCTTCCTTTCCTTCCTTTCCTTCCTTTCCTTCCTTTCCTTCCTTTCCTTCCTTTCCTTCCTTTCCTTCCTTTCCTTCCTTTCCTTCCTTTCCTTCCTTTCCTTCCTTTCCTTCCTTTCCTTCCTTTCCTTCCTTTCCTTCCTTTCCTTCCTTTCCTTCCTTTCCTTCCTTTCCTTCCTTTCCTTCCTTTCCTTCCTTTCCTTCCTTTCCTTCCTTTCCTTCCTTTCCTTCCTTCCTTCCTTCCTTCCTTCCTTCCTTCCTTCCTTCCTTCCTTCCTTCCTTCCTTTCGCAGTGGGAGATCTGCAATCGAGGTACATGTCCAAGACTGAAAATCGAATCTGCAAGCTTTCAGTCTGAGCGCTGGCAACTCTAACCACTGAGCAAACTAGCCAGGGCTCTCTGAGTTTGTATTGGAACTTTATGTTGGAGTGAGGTAAATATAAGATGATACACTTTGTTGCACAATCTCAAAAGGCACTGTATTCCAGTGGAATAAATAGAAGTGCAAAAAATGATGGCAACTGATCTTGATTTAATTTTCATAAAATCTGCTCATTACTTTGCTCCAACATTTGTGAAACAGGGCTAGCAGCAGAATCCTAGGTCAGGAGGCTAGGGCTTCATAAATCTGAAGTGAATAACTTTTTTTCTAAAAAAACTGAGTTCAGAAAAGGGTAGTTATTTGACTTTGGGAAAGTCATGTGGTCATTTAATGGTGGACCCTGGATTGGACCTCTGATCTGTTGCTCTCTGTGTACTGAGCACTTTTCCATTTTCCCCTCCCACCTTTATCCCCACTCACTTCACCATGGGACAATGGAGCTTTATGGATAACAAAGCCTGGACATCTTAAGATACTTCAAGAGCTTTTTGTCCTTTTTTCAGGGAAGATTGTTCCTAGGTGTATGATGTAATCACTTTCTGGTAACCTCTTAAAGGGCACCTTTCCTGTGCTGTTCAGGCATTCCTTTAGGGTAGCATATAACCATAGAGGATCAAATGTTAAAACACATGGCCTCTGAAAATGACTGCATTGTTCCTGCTGTTCTGTAAAGATCATAAATCAGGCTGAGTGTGTGTGTAGGTATTGGGCTCTTAGCAACCTGACACATCACTGACTTTGAATGTTGATCACATTAAA